AGTGGGTTGGTGGGGGACGTGGGGGGCGGTCGCTGACTGGCCACCCGGCCCGCAGTTTGACCACCTGGACTCAGAGTGGCTGGGGATGCCGCCGCTGCCCTCGCCGCGCTGCCTCTTCGGCCTGGGAGAGGCTCTTAACTCCATCTACGTGGTCGGCGGCCGAGAGCTCAGGGACGACGAGCGCAGCCTGGACTCGGTCATGTGCTACGACAGGCTGTGAGCGCGGCCTGGGGGCGGGGCCGAGGAGCCTGGGGGCTGGTCCAGGACGGCGGCGGGGCGTGGCGGGGGAGCGAGAGCCCAGGGCTAGGGGCGGAGGCGGGCTTGGGTAGGGGCTGGGCGGGGCTGGCAGGTGGGGTGGGAGCGAGGAGCTGAGAGGTCTGGGAGTTCCGGTAACGAATCGGGGGCGTCCCAATGTGTGTTGGGTGGTGGGTGGTTGCAGAGACGGGGGCTGAGAGCGCCCTACTCCCCTCCCCTCTAGGTCGTTCAAATGGGGCGAATCGGACCCGCTGCCTTATGCCGTGTACGCCCACTCTGTGCTCTCGCATATGGACCTCGTCTACGTCATTGGCGGCAAGGGTAGCGACAGGTGAGGCGCGGGCCAGGAAGGAGTGCAGCAGCCGGGTCGGCGGGTAGAACGGAAGCAGAGTCTCCCCGAGGCTGTCAGGGGTCTGTCCTGACTGCCTTGCGAGGCAGCTGGAGGGACTGGGCCAAGGGAAGAGGCGGCTCTGCTCCCGCCTCCTGCTTCTCACTCACTGCCCCCCCACCCCCACCACAGGAAGTGCCTGAACAAGATGTGCGTCTATGACCCTAAGAAGTTCGAGTGGAGGGAGCTGGCCCCCATGAAGACTGCGCGCTCACTCTTCGGTGCCACCATCCATGACGGCCGCATTTTTGTGGCTGCTGGGGTCACAGACACAGGGCTGACCAGTTCAGCTGAGGTGTACAACATCGTGGACGGCAAGTATGGCTGCTTCCCCCCCTCCCTGCCCCCGTTCCGCTGGACAGCCAGGGACGAAGGGCCCCACTGTACCAGCCTGGCTGTGTGGCTTTGCGCCTATGTCAGCCCTCTCTGTGTCTGCCCTGGCAGGAAACATAGCCTCTGTCTTGAGTCTCCACTGTGCAGCTTGGACATCAGCACAGAACTAGCCCCTCTACTCTGATCAGCAGTGAGGTGGGCTTCCCCCACAAGGGTTGTGGCCAGCCTGGTCTGCAGGAGAGAGCTCCTCGGAGATGCCAGGTTCCTCATTCAGAGACTCGTACCAGGCGCTGGCCTGGTGCTAGGGATACAGCAGTGACTGAGACAGAAGCTGCCCTGCCCTGGGAGATCGGGAAGAAAACTGAGCTGGCAGACCAGTTGGACTCAGCCAGCTAAAGAGGTGGTGGGAGAAGGATGCCCGAAGGCAAAGGAAGGCTGGTGCCAAGGCATTTAGGAGGAAAAAAGGCAGGCTCATTGGAGGAGGGAGCATTGGTCAGGTTGGATGGAGTGTGGTGGGTGAAGGGAGGTGGGGATTGTGGGTACTGGGGCTGGAGAGGGGGCAGTCGGGCTGAGGGACTTTATCCTGAGAGTAATGAAATGCCTCTGATGGGCTTTAAGCTCCCTTCTGTGTTCTCCTGAGATGCCTCATGGCAGCTCATGTAGAGAAGAGATTAGGGATTTCCTAGGAGGCAGGGGTGTAGCTGTATCGCAAGAAGTGGTGGTGGTCTGGAGCTGGGGGTACAGCAGGGATGGGGCAGAGAGGATGCACTGGAGAAAGACTTAGGCCAGCGCTTTTCATGTGCCCATGGATCCCTGGGGATCACGCTCTGAACGCAGATTCTGATTCTCAGGTATGGGGAGGGACCTCAGTATATTTCTAATAAACTCCCTGGTGATGCTGACGCTGCCAGTCCATGGACCATACTCAGTAGCAGGAGTTTAGCAGACACAAGAAATAGGATGTAGCAATCGATTGGATGGTGGGGGTGAGAGGGAGAGGTGGACGCTTTTGAGTGAGGGTGAGAGGTCATTTATTAAATTAATTTATTCATTTATTTTTGGCTGCGTTGGGTTTTCGTTGCCGCGCGCGGGCTTTCTCTAGTTGCGGCAAGCGGGGGCTACTATTCATTGTGGTGCGCGGGCTTCTCATTGTGGTGGCTTCTTTTGTTGAGGAGCACGGGCTCCAGGCGTGCGGGCTTCAGTAGTTGTGGCACGCGGGCTTAGTAGTTGTGGCACGCGGGCTCAGTAGTTGTGGCTCGAAGGCTCAGTAGTTGTGGCGCACGGGCTTAGTTGCTCCGCAGCATGTGGGATCTTCCCAGAACAGGGCTCGAACCCGTGTGCCCTGCATTGGCAGACTGATTCTTAACCACTGTGCCACCAGGGAAGTCCCAAAGAGGTCATTTATTGAAGAACTGTTGGAGTTAGGTAGGAAAAGTGAGGGTCGAGTTAAAACATGTGGATTTGAGGTGCCTGGGTGTCCAGGAGGAGCCCACTAGGGCAAAGAGAGAGCTCGAGGGTGAGATCTGGGGAGGGGGGACAGTACTCGGAGGGGACAAGCTCCCTCAGGAGAGAGGATGTTAGTGGGAAAAGCCGAGGCCCAAGCCCTGGGAGCAGCAGGGGCAGATGCATTATTCAGCAAGGAATCCCAAGAGGTGAGGCTGGGAGGTGGGAAGTGAAGACAGTCACATCAGCAGAAGTGCGTACCGTGGACCCTGGATTCCAGAGCCCTGTGGTGGCTGGGGACCCGAGGGCAGTTTTGGAGGGATGAAGAGCCAACTTCGGGAGCCAGGGGAGGGGAGTGAAGGCACCTTGAGAGTCACTGGGCCGTGAAGGGGAGAAAAGGGACGGGGCAGGAGTGCAAGGGACGGTCTCGATGGTCACTGAGGTAGCAAGCTGGAGTTGGTTCAGGAGCAAAGGCGGGACATTGGGGAGAGCCCTGGTGGGTTTCATGGGGCAGGTTAGATGGAATGACAAGGGGACAGTGGAGGGAAACGGGAGGGGCAAGAGAATGGGGAAGAAGTGAAGACCAGAGGGCATTCCTAAGAGGTCAGGAAGCAGGTTGTGCTGGGAGCACGGGTGCCTGGGAGTCGGATTTTGCAGGGTGCAGCTGAAGCTGTGAGTGCTGGCGGGCGACAGTCACTGGGCTCGCTGCGGCCCCCCCGGGGGCGGGGTGTGAGGCACCTCCTCACGCCCCCTCCTTCCTGCCAGGTGGGCGCCCTTTGAGGCCTTCCCGCAAGAGCGCAGCTCGCTCAGCCTGGTCAGCCTGGCGGGCACGCTCTATGCCATCGGCGGCTTTGCCACACTGGAGACTGAGTCCGGGGAGCTGGTTCCCACAGAGCTCAACGACATCTGGAGGTGAGCCTGGCCCTAGGGAAGTGAGGGGAATCGTGAGCAAGGCCAGCTGGGCACCGAGGCAGCGCCCAGCAGGCTCTATCTGTGGGCAGAGCTGACCCCTCCTCCAGGAAATCCTGTGGGGACAGGGCAGCAGACATGCCTCGCTCAGCCCAGGGTCTCTCCAGTTTGTTGGGGAAGTCTGGGTTTGCACACATGGCACCATGCCCCCCTGTGGGGCATCGACAGTGTCAGTCAGGACCTGGTGCCAAGGTTAGGGCCCAGACCCACAGAACCGGGCCCCAGGGAGGCAGACTGAGGCTGCCCTGAGAGCTGGCCCTGAGAGGCAGCCAGCTCTTCCCTCTCCCCTCCCTCCTGACGGGGAGAGCTGGCTCGGGATTGAGGAGTAGCTGGATCCCGGCTTCTCAGAGCCATTGCTTCTATGGCTGGTCCTAGCTGGGGGTGGAGGGGAGAGGTTTCGGCAGCCTGGGGCAGCTTCTGAACCTTCAGTGATGCTCAGTGCTGCAGGCAGCCTCTAGAGGGCAGTGCTGCTGGGAGGGCAGGACGGGGCTTGGGGGGGGACTTCTCGGAGAGTTGAGTACAGAAATTCTCAAGAGGAGGGGTTTGGGGAGGTGCAGACCTTCCTGGAGGGAGGTGGACTTCAAGGAGTGTGGGCTTCCTGAGAGGGGGCTCTTCCTGGAAGGTAGGGCAGGTGTTCTTTGGGGGTGGGACCCCTTTCCCGGAGCGTGGGCGCTCTCCAGGAGCTGGCCTTCCTGGAGATGGGCCTGAGGCTGGGGGGCGGCACTCCCCAGGGGTGGCCTACTGCACCCAGCCACCCCTCCCTGCTGGGTCCCACCCGGGACTTGGCTGACCGAGCTCCTCGTCCCTGTCTCCACTCCTCCCACCCCAGGTACAATGAGGATGAGAAGAAGTGGGAGGGGGTGCTGCGGGAGATCACCTATGCCGCTGGCGCCACCTTCCTACCTGTACGGCTCAACGTGCTGCGCCTGACCAAGCTGTGACCCGCCCAGAGGACCTGACTGCGCGCCCCCCATGCTGCAGCCCACACAGGCCCGGCCTTCTGGGTTGGGGGCTCCAGGGAGGAGTCTGGGAGAGGCAAAGTCCACCTGTATCCCATCCCGTCACAGTGCCCGAGGGGCGCTTCAGCCAGGAAAGGGAAATCGCTGCCTGGAGCTAGCCTTTCGGGCAGGGACGAGAAACTTTTGGCCTCTCCGGTGTCTCCATATCCCCCGTGTTCCTGGTCCATGAGGCATAACCTCGGGGGGGTGGTCAGGCTGCATCCCGGCCCAGCCCCGGCCTGGCTGTGTGTGCCCATAAACTCCCCACAGAACTGTCTCCTCGCCTATCAGGGGGCGGGGGGGTTCCCTATCGGGTGCACCTTGCAGCCTGGGTAAGTCTCCTGTAAGAAGAATAAAGTGCCTTCCGAGCAAGCAGCTCGGGGTCTGGGATCAGGGGCTGCAAGCGTCAGCGACCAGGTGGTGTGAAGACCTGGGGCTTCCGTATTCAGCTGCTGGGCTGCCAAGGTCGGTGGTCTCTGCCCTCCGCGTGTGTCTCCTACACGTTCTCTTTGCGCCAAGAGCTTGAGCCCCCTCCCTGAACCTCCAGCTTCTCATCCAGCCTGGACAGGGAGCCAGGAGACTGCTAGAGGAAGGGGCAGGGAAGAGCCCAAGCGCGGTAAAAAGTCTTTTATTCTATCAGTCAGGCCCCTCCCAGGAACAGCTGGGCAGAGCCCATCCCTCCCCCTCTCCCCTACTCGGGCTTCTCTTTGTCCTGCTTCTGCTCCTCCTCCAGCATCAGGGTTCGCTCTCGCTCCTTCACCAGCTGGACACCACAGTAGGTGACAAACAGGACGGCCAGCGTGGTCTGGGGGAACCCTGTGTGGGGAAGAGGTCACGCGCGCCTGGAAGCAGCTCCCCTTTCCCCCAGTGACTCTTCTCTCTGCCCGCCTGACTGTCCCTCCCTGCTGAGTCCCTGGGGATCGCGGTGGGGTGGGGACATTTCAGGAGGTCACAGTCCTTGAGGTTGATACCTGGCATATTCCGTATCCCCCGTCCCTCACCTGTGAGTAGCAGGCGCTGGGCGACCAGCTCTGTGAACTCAAAGCTGTTCAGGCTTACAAGGTTGTACATGATGATGGCCCAGAAGTTCACGGCCCCAAAGATGGCTCGGACCCTGCGGGACATCTGCTCCGACAGAGAGGCCTGCTGGGTCCAGGGAAACACAGGCAGTGAGGTAAGAGGCCCAGGGGAAAGAGGACGTGGCGGGTCAGAGGCCTTGCCTATGTAGCCACCTGGGTCCTGGGGATATGCCTGTGTCCCTGAGAGTCCCCGGTCAGCTCTCCCTCATTGTTAAAAGATGGGAAACTGAACTCTGGAGAGAGGGCAGGGCCTGAACAACACAGCCAGGCCCGGGTGCCCCCCGACCCTGCAGAAGGGAAGGGAGGGCCAGGTACCCACAGAGGGAGCCATTGCCCCGACGACCCGGAGCGGGGTGGTAGTGAGAAAGTTCTGGCCTGGCAGCCAAGTGTGGCTGGAAGACTCCAGAGAGCAGTAGTGCCACCCCCTCCAGTGCCCCAGACAAGCCAGCCCCAGACCTTCCTTGCTCACCTCAATTCGTGCCAGGGGCCCCCACTCTGCCAGCTTCTGTACCCAGAGCTCAAAGTTGAGGCCAAAGCAGTTAAGGCATGACCACAAGTAGACAGTATCACAAGGTCCGAGCCACAGAGTGGTGATGGCAAATGTGGCCACAGTGGCCCCCAGCTCTGGGATCACCTCAGAGTGCTCCCCACCAACGTGGTCATACACGTACCTGCAGGCAAGGCGGGAAAAGGGGCCGGTGGGCGTGTGGGAAAAGGCAGGTGGGAGACGGGCAAAGGATACACAACGGGGGCAGCTTCCTCAATGCTATCATCCTGGGCACATTCAACACCCTGGGCCTCAGGTGGCTGCTCCTCCTCTACCCAACTTCAAAATGTGGAGGGCTCAGCCTTGAACTTCCTGTCTTCTCTAGCTACCTTCATTTCTCCAGGTGAGCTCCTTCAGACTCTGAATACTGTCTCTATGTTGACAAGCCCCAAATCTGTCTCTCTAGCCCAGTCTCTCTCCTGATTCATATATCCAACTGTTACCAGACATCTCACATGAATGACCAACTCCCCCATCCCTGCCCAAACCTACTTCATTCCCATCTCAGCTAACGATACCACCATCCATTCAGCTGCTGGCCAGAAGCCTTGGTGCCATCTTGGATTCTCAATTCCCCTCTCCACTCATATCCAGAGCAGCAAATGCTATACGGGCCCCACTTGGTCCTGAGCACTGCTTATATCCTCCACTAACACCACCCTAGTCCAGGGGATCATCTCCTGTCACACAGATTATGGCAAGAGCCTCTTAAGTCATCTCCCTGCTTCTGCCTCTGCCCCCTACTGTCCGTTGTCCACACAGCAGCTAGAGGCATCTTTTAGGAGTGTAACCCAGCTCACCGCACTTCCACAATCACACCCTCCGGCAATAGCTCCTCATTACAATTAGAATAAACTCAACCACCTTCCTGTGGCTAGAAGAGCCCACGTCATCTGGTTTCTGCCTCCCTCCCTGACCTGTCGCCCACCATTCTCCCCTTCATCCACTATGCTCTCCCCTTACTGGTCTTTCTGATACTCAGACACACACAGCTGGTTCCTATCTTAAGGCCTCTGTACCTGTTGTTCCCTCTGCCTGGAATTCTCTTCTCCAAATTCTGTTGTCACTCAAGTCTCAGTTCATCTCACAGAGGCCTACCCGAACCCCAACTAAAGAAGCTTCTACCCCATTACACTCTTTTATTTTCTTCATAACACTTACCACTCTCTAAAATTATCTTTTTTTTTTTTTTTAACCTGTTTATGGTCTGTTTCTCTGCACTAGGCTGTAAGTTCCATGAGTTCACGGTCTTTGCCATGTTCACTGCTGTATCCCCAGTGCCTAGAACAGTGCCTGGCATGTAGTAGGTACTCAATAAATAGCTGTTAAATAAATTCAGTAGAAGACCCATTGCATAACCAGCCTCTCTGTTCCTTGACCTCCTCATTTCACCAATGGTTTCTTTTCCACTCCACCTCAGTTACCCACTCCCATGGCCACACCCCAACTTTTTCACCACTTGTTTGACTCCTTCCTAATTCCCATCCTTCACCCTGCCCCCCCCCCACCTGACCTGACTCCCTAGCTCCACTTCTTAAATCTCATTGACCTCCCCCGCACCTTCCCCATCTTGTGATCCCGTCCTATTTTTACCACCCTTCTTAACTGTCATCGTTACAAATAACCTAAAAGCCCTTCCCCCTCACTTCTTCCTTCTCACCCACCTGGGAAAGCCCAAGCACCCACATTCTTCTCCCCTGCACCCAAGAAGCGAAGCCCTGATGGGAAAACCCCCACACCTTCACATATTAGAATCCATAAACCCACTACCCCCAACCCCACTTGAGCCGTCAGTGCCACGGTTTCTCTGGTCAGCATCTTCTCTCAGGCTCTGCCGTGGCTACTCCACCTCATCTCCCCTGCACGTGTGAACGGGTGTGCTGATCGAGGCAGGAGGAGAGAGGCAGCATCTGTGTGCCTCCCTCCACCCCCAACCCTGCATCTCTCAGCTGATGACCTCGCCTCCTGCTTCCTGGAGAAAACCGAAGCTTTCAGGAGGAATCCCTCACCTTTCCACACTCACCTGCCATTCTTCTGCATCCACACTGGCCTTTCTTCCTCCTCCGTGGCCGAAGCCAGAGCTCTGCCTGGTTCCATCGCCTCCGCCCCTTCTCAGGGAGCTCACTCCATCAATCACCCCTCTATCCTGCGCTGCCAACTTCCTCCTTTCTAGTGAATAATTCCCCTCGGCACCCAAGCATGTCCCATTATTTCCTGTCTTTAAAACACCCACTTCTCCCTTCGGCCACTTCTGTGTGTCCCCCTTCAGTACCAGGCTTCTTCCCGGAGCTGTCTACATGGGAACTACCCTGCGGTTCCTCTGTCCCCCACACCCCCAGACCCGACTCCTCCCGGCCCCTGCCTGTCCAGGGAAAGGCCGAGAACCTCCATGCCACCCACGCTCACGCTCGGTCTCTGGCTTCCTTGACACCAGCAGCATCTGACCCAGTTGCCCCTACCATGCCAGGATGGTCTTCCCTTAGCTTCCAGGGTGTCCCACGGTCCTGCCTTTTCTCCTGCTCCTCTGACCGCTCCTTTCAGGCCCTTGTGCCGGCTCCTTCAACCAGAGTCCTTCCGGGCACACGACTTCCTGGGAGTCATCGCCCTCTCCTTCCTGATGCCCTCAGTCCACTGCCAAGCGCTGTCCAGGCTGCCTGCTGTGTGTCTCCACTGCATTTCTCTCACCTCCAGGGGCCCCAGCCAAGTCCAAACCTCTGTCTTTCACTTCGACCTCTGCCATGACCTCCTCCCTCCGTCCCTGCTTCCTCTGGCCCAGAGGTGATCTTTGAAGACGTGGACCCACCTGGCCACGGCCCTGCTCAGCCACCTGGCGGGTGGCTGTGACGTCCCACCCCACCCCAACTCACCTGCAAAGCCAGTCGTTGATGCCACGGTCAAAGTGCCTGTGGGGGGAGAGCGTACGGGTGGGAATCAGCCGGGAGGTGAGCTCCGGGGCTTGGGGCAAGAGGCCAAGGGGAGGTGGGGATCCCGGAGGCGAATCCCGGGGCCTCGCACTCACGTCTCGGAGAAGACGTAGAGCGCTGTGATGCACTTGGGAGGCCGGGGCGGGTCCAAGTGGTCGAGGCGCGCCACGGTGTTGACGACGCCGAAGAGGACGGCCGCCTTCACCCAGTCGTACACCAGGTTTGAGTAGGCTAGGCCAGCTGGGGACAAGGGGTCGTCACGGCCCCGGGGCGGGGGGGGGGGGGGGGGGCAGGCAGGGGGTGCGGGGCGGGCCTGCGGCGGCAGAGGCCAGCGTGACATCTCGTGGCGGGGGGGGGGGGGGGGGGGGGGGCGTCACACCGACCTTCCCCCCGTCCCCCATCCCGCCCCGGGTCTTCCCAAATCCGGGGGAGGCGCGGAGCCCTGCCCTCCCCTGCGGACACTCTCTCCCCAGCTCGGGGTGGGGGTGGGGGTGTCCTTGCGCCCCGGCCGCCCCCACGGAGGCCCCGCCCCCACGTCCTGGCGGGTGGGGCTGGCCCCAGGGAGACCCTATGCGGCTGGGGAAATCAGCCCCAGGCCCCGGCGAGGTGGGCGGCCTCTGTCTGGTACCACCGCCCGGCCTCACGGGGCAAACCTACCTCCAAGTCCCATGCATTTCAAAGGCTAAATCCCCGCTCCCCCACCCTGCGACAGGTGCTGTCCCCCGGGGCGCCAGCTTCCCCAGCTGTGGCTCCGCCGCCGCTGGGGCGCAGAGGGGCCGTCCTCCTCCCTGTGCTGGGCCCGGCGCGCACCCACCGAGGGCGCTGTCCGGGAGGCGGCTGGCGAACTTGAGGTCACTGGGGATGGTGAGGATGTAGAAAAAGTGGAAGAAGATGTCCACGGCCACGATGGCTACCGCGCTGAGGCCCGCCTGGGCCCGGATGCGCCACAGCTCGCCCTCTCGCCGCACCGGCTCCACCTGGCTCACCTGAGGGACGGCGAGGGCCTGAGCGGGG